AAAATCTCGAACAGCTTTATTTGCATAAGATAAAAGCTAATTTCCTATGATGTAATGAAGGATCATTTGAAACGTTTACGATACTGCGACGATTTAATTAGAAGCAGTTTGTTATTCGACCAATTGATTTAACAACAATTATGAACAGCTGCGAGAGAAAGAAAGAAAGATCCTTGTCTCTTGGCCCAAGCAACCAGACTGTAAACGCATAATGCTCGAAGTGAACCATAAATTTGAACCGCAACCCTTCTCCGCCAGTCCGTCTCCTTTCGCTTCAGCCCCATTGCACGGTGACTCACGTTATGGGGGTGATTCGCCCCTGACTTGGCTGGCGACGTGCCCGATGCAGTCGTTGTCTTCTTTTTCTTATCGATAAGGTTGCGCGAAGAATACGAAACTTTGTAACGTAGCGGTAACTTCGTAAATTGTATAAAAGAATCGGAATATTTCCTCTTTAAAATACACAAGTTATCTAACAATAAGTCATATTAAGACTGTGTTATATGAATACTGTAAAATAAATTAATTTGAATAAAAATGTCACTCTTTTTTTAAGAACAATAATAAAAAATAATCGCAACAAATAAAAATATATAAATGTTATCAGTAATCATTATATGTATACATAAAAAAAAATATCTATAAATAAATCGTTGTTTTACCTAGCAAAGGTGAGAAAGGCAGATTCGTTTTTATCCGTGAGATGCAAAGCGTCGATGTGGATACGCCACGCCCTCCAGCATCGCGCCAAGGGGCGAGGAAAACTGGAGTAAGAAAAACGAACGACGCCAGGGTGGGAAAGGGGAAACCGTCGTCGACGAGAGGAAGTTGGAAAGCACAACTGAGACGCAAGGAAATTAAATAATAATAAAATGTATTAAAAATCGTATACATTTTGAATATACGCGTATGTATATACACGCGGACGTGTGTGCATATATATATACACATATATATACTATATATATATATATATTATCTTTATATTTTTTTGCAACCTACCGAGAGACGGCGGTCGATTTTTTTTACATCTACGGATTACTATGGCAACGTAAAAATTGTACAAAGCGACCGATGGCGGCCGCGTGTGAAACTCGTCGCGCAAGTCAGAACGTAAAAATGCTTGAACGAGGAAAAACGCACGGATGAAAACTAAAGAAGGGAGGCAACAGAGAGAGGCTTCGATATGGTATATCGCGCTTCGGCGAAGCACGGAGAATGTTGCGGAACGACGATTTTTACGTTTCTCGATGAGAACACGTGTTCTCGAAACACACACTCGTGATACACACAGTATTCTCTTTTTTATTGACAATTAGTGTGACAAAAAGTAGCTTACAAATACTTATAAAGACTCCTTCTCATATTGATTTCTCTAACATCACTTCTTGATAGATCCGTTCGAAGATCTCTCAAATATCCGCGGGAGAGAAACCGCCTTTCCAGTATGTATTTTTCCATTCAAGACTCGCATTCTGACACTTTCCTTTCTTTTCTTCTCTCCTACTTTCATCAAGCAATGTCAACTATTCCCCCCCTTTCCTCTCCCTTATCGGTTATGTATTGGCGTGATATGTGAATACTAATTATAAGACGTCTTTACTCCCGCTACTCTATAACATTACTATTACGCGTGTATGTTCCATTTTGGCAGAGATTCCCGTCAAAGATACGACGGTTAACATATTTAAGTTGGATGAGGCAGTTTTCGTTTTTCAGTCCTTTCACTTTTGTGCACTCCCAACATCCCATAAAGAAATACAGTGGACAGTGATTTAAAATTGTCATGCCACATCTCTGTTCTCATCTTTAATTATGAACAATTAAACTTTACATTATTACATATTATAATATTTTGATGGAATTTGAAAAACCCAAAGTACGATAAATATATTATCTAAAATTCTCGTTCAAATATTGTCGTATAATTTACTTCCAATATATTCGATTGTAGTTTTATTACGAGATGCCATATATATAGAGATCCCTGATTTAAATTTTCTCTCTACAATTTCCGATACTAGAAAAAATTCTGGAGTTGCGATATTGCTAGTGACAAGACGCCGTCACATGTATAATATGTATTTAAGGGCTGTTACTTCCGTTATATCTCGCGCGTAATCTCACGCTTGGGGGCTACTTCTAGATCGTCGAGATTTACATGAGAATGACATACGCGCGCGCGCATAATTTTCTTCTATCTACTACGTTCGGGGGTGCATGTAGATTTCCTTTCGCGCTCCTTCGCGCCCGCCGTAAGGCAAGCTATTAGGCAAGCTCCCTTTATTTCGCATATCGTTCACCCTTCGCGACACGTACGCAAAGGAGCCGATCACCGCACGAAGTGTAGTAAGAATAAAAAAACATCCCGCCTCTCTTTTTCTCTTCGTTATATATCATCGGTTTTCTATGAAGATCATAACTTGGTGTAGGAAAACGCGACAAGAATCTGTGACACGTTCTTACTTTACAGTACAAAAATGTTCGAGCTAATACATCGATGTGTTAAATTATATTGTGTGATCTTCGCGAGGCAAACCTATATATGTATACTTATATATGTATTACACATTTTGTGAATGCATACTGTGGACCTAGTTTTCATGACGATCGTCCCCTCGTGGCATAATGACGCTTGATCGGTCTATTATTGCGGAAGCAGATCTTAAAAATATCGATTAATTCGAATCGTGTTATGCAAACTGAAATTAAATTATTTTTATCATAAACTAAAAAATATATATATATATAACTTTATATATATAATTTGATAATATAGTTACATACTTATTGAATAAAAGTTCTCAACAAAATAACATTTATGCCAAATTTTATCAACCTTCCTCAAGCTTTAATAAACAAAGTTAGATTGATGATTTATCAGTTTTTAACAGTTCGATCTTAAATTAGAAAAACGACGATTAATGAACTCTAAATTAAAACAAGGAAATATTTCTGATTAAAATAAGATCTTTTAAACATCGAAGAGAGAGAAAGATTGAATATTATCTGTCTCGAGAAAAGTTGGCAAAAGCGGCGGATTCCAGTTTGGCTTGACAACTGGCATAAAGCATCTCAATTAGCAGACTTTATATCGAGTGCGACAACTTTTGGCTGAGGGCTTGTGGAAGGATACAATGTGTAACGCTTGCCAGGAGCACGATCGTCCTCGCGTCAACACCCTACAACATATCTGACGACCGTTTTATTTACAGCATCAATTAACACCTAAGAACAATATTTACAATAGTCCATCCCGCTTACTCTAACGTCTGTCCTGTACACTCGCTTTTGCCCATCATCGCGCGTTTACCGCGAACGACGGCAGCTTGCTTTCACTGGAGATACTTTCAGAGTTTCGCGACTCCTTTCGATTGCGAGGAGTGACGAAGAATTGGTATGAAAAGAGCCCGGACATAGCACGCGCGACATCGAGGATAATAGCATTTTTCTCCCTTTCAGGAGAGGAAAAAGCAGGCTGCCGCTTTTCGCGTCGCATCCGTATGTGTACATTTCCGACATGGCTTTTTATGGCTAGATTAGATAAATAGACGAGACGAGATACACGTTAGACGGACACATTAACGGGCTTTACGAGCACCGCTTTTACGAGAAGAAGATGTAAGAAAGATTAAAGAGAGATAGATAGATACGGATATAAAGACAGATCAATCTATCGACACCACGTTCATTGCTATCGTGCGCACGCGTGTACGTTCTCGCGTGTCACTAAGTTTTTCTTCTAAATCACAATCTCACTATACCGCGGCACTCGAGCGATCCTTCCTTTCAATTATATATAAAAAAAAAAAA